CCATCGTAATCCTTGTTTAATTCTCTATAAAAAACGCAGCTAAAAAAAAAATGGGGGGTTTTCAAGAACTATGTTTAAAATATTTTTCTTTATGAAATAAAAAAAATCCTCGAACTCGTGTTAGCTTATTTCATGTATAGAGCACATAAAAAAAATTTGAAGCCAAATTTGGTGTCCGATATGAAAAAGAATGTCTCATATACGTATATTCACTTTAGGGACCACATGTGTATTATATGTATTATAGATAAAGTAAAGTAAACAATTCGTAATATTATTTATTCAATTCTTTCATTGAGCATTTGCTTATAAGTTTGTCTAGATTTCAATTTGTGTTTAGTAACTGCGGCCAAATAGCGTATAGAACTTAGGTTTGTTAGTGCAACTTGGATGAATACACTTGTCGGCCGGAGTGATTGTCGCTGGTTGGTCAAAAGGAATACAGAGCGATTTAGCGCCCATAGCTGGTGCTCCGGGTTCTGACTCCTCGTCTCTGCAAAGTATTATTATGGTGTAGAGAAACTAGGAGCGACAAAACAATTTTGTTTTTTTACTAACCTTGCACTATCAGCCTTGATTTTTTCTTCGCATCCGATTTCGCCACAGAATGGTGAAAGGAGAATGTGTTTAGCGTCCAAAAATTTGCAGAAATCTATCCAAATCTTTGTAATTTTCGTATGATCAACCATATCCTTTTTCGCTTTCGCCAGCATGCTATCGTGAATTGTTTCTAACAGTTGGCTGATCTTAGACTCAACATCTTCCAAAGCCAAAATCAGTTTCTCACCCGTGTCACGACGTACTGCCACTAACTGATTGGCTTTCATATCTTTCGGACCAAGTTCAATGCGCAGTGGTACTCCCTTCAATTCCCAGTGGTTGAACTTCCACCCGGGGGAATAATTGTCCCGATAGTCTCCTTCACAGCGGATGCCTTTTGTGTTCAACTGGTTTTCGATTTTTTTACATGCTTGCAGCAGTTGTTCACGTTCTTCTTCCTTAGTGTTAACCGTTATACCACAAGGCACAATAATGGCTTGAATGCAAGCAACACGTGGCGGCAATACCAATCCCTGATTGTCTCCATGTACCATAATCATAACGCCTATAGTCCGCGTTGTTATACCCCACGAGTTTTGGTATACGAATTGCTTTTGCTGCGTTTCCGGGTCCTCATACACAATTTCGAACATTTTCGAGAAATTCTGACCTAAGTGGTGGCTGGTACCGCCTTGAATAGCACGACCTGATGCCGAAATAAAAGCCTCTACAGTCGTGGTATAGTCTGCACCGGCGAACTTCTCCTTCTCAGTTTTACGACCTTTGACTACAGGGATCGCAAGGAGGTTTGTGTAGATTTGCGCATAACGATCTAGAATTTCTAAGACTTCTTGATCGGCTTCTGCTTTAGTGGCGAAAGCTGTGTGACCCTCTTGCCAGAGAAATTCGCGCGTACGCAGGAATGGTTGAGGATGTTTGAATTCCCAGCGCTAAATTTAGAAATTACGAATTAGTGAAGTCATTAAAAACAAAGAACCGTAAATGTTTACATATGTATGTATGTATGTATGTATGGATTTTAATTTTATTTGGTATGAGGATTTTATGAATTTTAACCGACTTCAAAAAAATGAGGAGGTTATTAATTCGTCGGAATAATTTATTTTTAATTTTTTTTTTATGTATGTTACCGCATAACTTTGGACCGCGTTAACCGATTTCTATAACCCTTCTTTAAATAAAAGGTGGTACCTCAGAGGCGGTCACTTACTAATTTGTCTTAGGTCCGATCATTGGATTATGAAGAAATTAACGATACGCTTAAATTTTATATGAGAATTGAAGTCGATTTTGTTTTTTGCTTAAAAATTACTTGTTTATTTTTGTGATCAAGAATAATTGATGTTTTGGTTTTTGCCACAAAACTGCATACTCGGAACATTTCTGTGAAATCTACATAATTAAAAACAAGGCCTTGATTAAAAAGCTCAAAATTTTTACATACGGGTGAAGCTAATAGGTTCGTTCGCGTAGCTGTTAATTGTTCATGTTTAACCAAAACTTACAGGTTTTTGCGTTCGCGTACGCAAAAAACTTGCAAAGTAGGGGAAATTGAGAGAGCAAAGTGACATTTCATTTTGAGGGGAAGCTGTTAGTTTCTGTTGGAAAAATTTTTGCCAACAGCAATTTGCCAACAGGGAAACAGCTGATCAAAAACAGCTGGTTGGCATTTACGCAAATCACAAAATTTAATTTGATGGTTTGGAAGATAAAAATTACAAAATGCGACTAATTAAACTTGTAAGAAATAAGTAGTTATTTGTTTAATCAATAAACTGTGTCAGTATAACACTTTGCGATGACTTTTCGTACGTTTTAAATTTTACACTTTTGTATGTAAACAAAAATTATATCAGCTGTTCGTCTAACTTGCAAGTTTCTGCAAATTTTCTGTTCGCGTACTATTTTGGATATTTCTCTCTTGTGAGCGAACAGATGACATTTCGCCGGAATTTGGCAGTTGGTTGGTTTCTGTTGGAGATTTTAAACGAACGCACCTAATATAAGCATGTTAAAAAAATATATTAAAATTTCAGTGGGAGATTTGAGCAGCTGAATTTTTTTTTTATTCAGTAGCTAATACTTTTCTAAGGAAGCTCCAATAGGTTTAAAGGCTGCATCCGACAGCGTGTTATTACTGTTTTATTTAACAACACAAATTTGGTTAAAAAAGAAACAAAAAAAAACATTATATTTCTATTTCTAAAAAAAATTCGGTTACAGCATATATGTAAACTTCTATATTGCTAGTACATTCAGAGTACATTCCCCAACATCAGAGTACCGAAATATTGAAAAAAGAAAGAGAGATCCGATAAGAGAATGTACTCAGAATGACAATTTTACTTTTCAAAATTCAGGAGCGGTTTCACAAATTTTTATTTAAAAACAACTCTTATGAAAAATTAACAAAAAAAAAAAAATTTGTAAATCTATGAGAAGCGCTGCGGATAAAAATACCAGTTAGAGAAGGTCTTGGCATCAGTTGGCATTTCCAATTGGCGTCATTCAGCATAGAAGGGAATCGAATAACGTGCTTTATTGGATTCGGCCAACATATAAAATACCACACCGCTTTATATGTAAATAAGTTTTGTCTTTCTTAGGAAAAGATCTTCTATCTTCCAATTTTTCAGATTTCCAAATATCGTGGAGTATCGGAGAAACTCGTCATACCGAGCCCTAACCGCTAAAATAATGTAGGTATATATATATTTTTTAATTTACTTTTTGGTGCAGGTGCTCTAAGAGGCATTTATGTATCAAAATTAAATTTTGAAAAAAGTTGTCTAACTTCATTTTAGCGGCTAGGGCTCGATATACATTTGAAGGAAACATGAGACCGTCAAATTTGTGTTTGTTTGTTGAATTCCCTGAACCGGCCCTGTTATGATATGGCACTTCATTCTATGTAGTAGTTTACAAATATACACGTATACTTCCACAATCACAAACATTTTCATAGGCTGTCTTTCTTTGATTTCGAATGGAAAACTCATTGCGATCATATTGTACTAGCAATATAGAAGTATTACATATATGGGTTACAGTGTTGATATTCACAAAAATGTTTACGTATTTAGCCAACTCAATGATGAAAAAACCCGATCTGGAAACTTTGTTTTTTTCCAATTTTTGTCGCACTTTTGGATTTCGGCCGCACTGGGTGCTGGCGGGTCGAGGCTTAAAATTTGCGAGCCAGATCTGTCAATTTGACATATATTAGTTAGGTTTTCCACCAATCGAGAGGATTTTCATAGACGTAAGCTCGTTTTCCTTTAAGTTTTTAATTGAGCTTTTATTTCAAAATTTTTAATGCCTCAAGATTCTACATCCGAGCCTTCGCTTTCGCTGGAGGAATCTCAAATTATTTCTAGGTTGCTTATAAGACTTTTAGCAGTACTTGTTGAAGGCCTATCAATGTTGCTTGATATACTACTTAACCGTTTAGCGCCTGAAGCTTAAAGCCGGTTATTGTCCGCACCCTGGTTAGACAGACTTATAGCCATTTCAACAATATTAGAGTGGACTCTCTGCCCATGTACACATTCGCATTAGCAAAACATTCCAATCATTTGATACTACTGGTGTGCTGAAAAGAGCTTGTCGATAAACCCACTGAAGTCCACCATTGTTTACCTGACAGAGACTTCATGGTAAGACTTTGGGAATATAACCAAAACTAACCTATTGTTCTGGAGTGCAATAGGGTATAGTCGTTGCGCTGGGTAAGCAGTTACAGTTGCATGGCTATACTCAATACCGACTCTTGCGTCCTCGTTCGCGCACTCTGGGCAACGTGAGCAACCCATGTGCGAGATGCGGTAACCAATCCGAGTGGAGCCTTGGGTCACGGCAGAAAGAGAGGGAGCCTCGGTGGGGTCACTCCGACTTATTCGGTTTAAGGTAGGTGCGGCTGCAAGCGGGTGTCTGCTTGGAGCAAGCGGCTCGCTACATAAACGTGTATTTGGTTGCGAAATCACCCTCGTCCCAGCAATGGGTTGTGCGCTGGGCTTGGGACCCGCCACGTAAAAACCACTTTCAGTGAGGAAGCAAGGCAAAGCCTCGGATGAGACCCCCCCTTATGATGACGACCACGGCAAACGTTTAAAGGACAACGATTTGAGGGCATGCACCTGGAATGTTCGGACCCTTAATGGGGAAGGTGCCTCTGCCCAGCTGGTTGATGTCCTCGTAAGAACAAAAGCTGACAGCACCGCCATCCAAGAAATGCGTTGGACGGGGCAAGGCAAGCAATGTCTGGGGCCTTGCGACGTCTACTACAGCTGCCATATAAAGGAGCGCGAATTCGGAGTTGGATTTGTGGTGGGAGAGAGACTCCGTCGCCGAGTACTGTCGTTCACCCCGGTGGACGAGCGTCTAGCCACAATCCGCATCAAAGCGAGATTCTTCAACATCTCGCTTATCTGCGCCCATGCCCCGACGGAAGAGAAGGATGAGGTATCCAAGGATCTCTTCTATGTGCGCTTGGAGCGAACGTACGATCGCTGCCCGCGTCATGATATCAAAATCGTGCTTGACGACTTCAATGCCAGGGTGGGCAAGGAAGGGATCTTTGGAACCATCGTCGGAAAATTCAGCCTCCACGGCGAAACGTCCGACAACGGATTGAGGCTGATCGACTTCGCCGGGGCCCGAAACATGGTAGTATGCAGTACTAGGTTCAAGCATAAAAAGATCTATCAAGCTACATGGCTGTATCCGGACCGAAAAACGAGAAACCCAAATAGATCATGTTGTGATAGATGGAAGGCACGCTTCCAGTGTTTTAGACGTAGGCATACTCCGAGGCCCAAACATCGACTCGGACCACTATGTTGTTGCAGCCAAGATACGCACCCGCCTCTGTGCAGCAAAAAATGTGCGCCCAAATATGCAAGGAAAGCTTAACGTCGAAAAGCTGCAATCACAACAGACAGCCAGCGCTTTCGCTACTCGACTCTCACACCTGCTCTCAGAGAGCACTCTTCAACAAACCGACATATGCGAGCAGTGGAACCACATTTCCCGCTCATTANTTCGCATTCTTCAACAAACCGACATATGCGAGCAGTGGAACCACATTTCCCGCTCATTAAGTACCGCCGCCGAAGAAGTAGTCGGATTTCAGCGAGCCCGAAAGAACAACTGGTACGATGAGGAGTGTCAGGAAGCTGCAGAGAAAAAAGATGCCGCCCGCAGGGCCACGCTGCGATCGGGCGCAACGCGCGCTATGTGGGACCGCTATAGGGATCTGAAGAGGGAAGCGAGACGTATTTGCCGCAATAAGAAAAGAGAGACCGAAATACGTGAGTGCGAAGACCTTGAAATGCTAGCCGACAGGAAGAATGCCCGAAAATTTTACCAGAGAGTTAGGCGACTTACGGAAGGTTTAAAGACCGGGGCGTACTCCTGTAAGAAAAATAATGGCGACCTAGTAACTGATGTTCAGAGCGTACTTAAATTATGGACGGAACACTTTTCCGCCCTACTAAATGGTAGCAGCACGGAAAGCTGCGGAGGGGAACCCGAACCCGCAGTCGATGATGACGTGGTCGACGTTCCACCGCATGACTATGACGAGGTATGTATATGGTGTAGGTATGTATAACGCGGCTGAAAAACAACAAAGCCGCTGGAGCTGACAGCCTGCCAGCTGAGATATTCAAGTACGGCGGCGAGGTGTTGATAAGGTGCATGCATCAATTCTTGTGCAGAATATGGTCCCGACAACTGGAATTTAAGTGTGCTCTGCCGAATCCACAAGAAAGGTGACCTCGCCATTCGGGACAACTACCGCGGGGTCAGCCTTCTAAGCATAGGTTACAAGGTCATATCGAGCGCATTGTGTGAAAGACTGAAGCCCACCGTCAATGAACTGATTGGGCCTTATCAGTGTGGCTTTAGACCTGGCAAATCCACCATAGAC